GTTCAAAGGTTCACTAGGTTCAAAGTCTCAAGTCTCTAGACTCGTATGGCCTCTGGAATCGGTTTCCATGGATGTGGTTATGAAAATAATCATAATAGTTCCGTGAATGCGTAGTTTTCTGAGATTTGTCCAAAAAAATGCCCCAACTTGCGTTCATTCTCTTGCTCAAAGCCTCATTAACCGCTGTAAAAGTAATGGCCACAAGGCATGGCTGCTGCTCCTGCTTCTCCTGGCTGCAAGGACATTTTAAGCATTGAACATATTTTAAGCGCAGCGCATCCTGTTAGACAAGCAAGCCAAGCAAAGCCACTTAAAAGCCAGCTAAGTGGAAAACTCAACAAAGGAACACAGGACATTCGGCAGGATCAGGCTGCAAAGCTCAGGAAGTGCAACTGTAGCAAAAGTTTTTGCTCGTGCCGGCTGCTTAATTTTAATTATGCGCCGCTTATAAATTCAATTGCATTTAACAATTACAAACAAGTTCGGCTTGTTTGGGGCCAAGCAGACAATTTTTACAGGATTACAGTTCGGCCAGCCAAATGGGAAATTAATCCGCCAAACTTTCGACGCGCCAAAGACAGCGCCTTATGCCAGTTATCCTGGCGAATGGCTTGTTAAACAAGACTGGAGCTGGTGCAGTTTCTGTAAAGTGTTAGTTTTTCAAGTACTCCGAAAATTTGCTGGCCCTGAACCCTTGAGTTTTAATAATGATGACTGGCATTGACATTGGGCGGCAATTGTTCAGCAATTAATTATTCATAATGTGCACTCGAATGAAGTGCACGGAGAAGAAGGCTTTTGCCTGTACTTCACTGTAGCACGGCTCTTTAAGCAAATATTCATTTGCATTAGGCCCGAAAAGAAAAAGCCTTTCACTTGTTGTGGGCAGAGCAGGGCAAGTCACAAGACCTGGCCGGAATTAAAATTCAAATGCATGTCTGGCAGCCGCAAGGCAATAGCCACAAAAGCAGCTAAGCAAAGAAAATGGCAAACGGCAAATGGAAAATAGAAAAACTTTCACTGGCACACAAATACAGCAGGATTTTGGCCCTGACAGAAATTGAAAATCGTGCGCAAAATTATAAAATATTAATCGTAGACGCATTGTATCTGAATTAACTCCACTTCGGCGGGGTAATTTATCCGACTTCATTTTGTCGCGACGTGCTCAAGTTTTGTGCCAGCCAAGGCAAATGAGATTTTCCGCTTGCGAAAAGCCATGGCCAAAAAAAAACCAAACTAAACCTAAACCAAATCCAAATGCCAAAGTGGCAAAAGAAAAACTAATTTCATGAAAATGGCTGCAGATTTGAAATAATTTTTCGACAGCCCGAGCATCCCCAAAGGCAACTATTGGCAGCTTGTTATCGGCCGCTCGTTGGGGCTGTGAGTGGGCTGTGGGGGTGTGGTGTGGGCATGGTTGCTGCTGCCCTCGGGCATTATAGTTTTAGTTTTTTTCTTTGCTCCTTTTTGTCACACTTTTTTTTTTCAAATTAGATGTTTATAAAAATGTGTGTGCATTAGCTTGGCTGAAAACTTTCTCAATTGTCGGCAAAGATAAATGTGAAGGTAAGTAAGAAAATCGACAGAGAAGTTAGACGGGTGAGCGGAAGACTCCGAAATTTTAAAATGCATTTAAAGGCTTTGATAAAAAACTCAGGGTGAAATTAATGCTGCAATAATAATTTATTAATTAATTTGCATTAGCTCAAATACTGTCGATAAATTGATAATTATAAACGCATATTGTTTTTTTATGAAAATTAAATTATGAATAAAGACATTTAGAAATATTTCCGAATTGATATTGGTCAAGAAGGCGTTTTTTATTTATTCCACATTTATATTATATGCATTAATAATTGTCATTAACATAAATACTATCGATAGTTTAAGAAAAATAAATGAGCTTCGCACATACTGTACATATTGTTCTTAAGAAAATTAAATTAGAAATAAAGAATTTTAGAAATTTTTTCTATTTAATCAGCAAAGTCTTTTAAGAAAATTTAATTATGAATAAAAACAGATAAGAATTATTTAATTATTTACCGTATTAAATGCTAACAAATAAAGAAATCTGTCAACATTAACAACATATATTATTTAATTTTTCATAACATGAAAGCTATATGATTAGGCTTTTAGATAAGTTAATAGAAAACACAAGAGGATACGCTGGGATTTTCTGAACTTTGTCAAATGTTCTTCGCACTTAGTAAATATACCAATATAGCATATGCTCTTAAACCTTACAACTTTACTTTTTGGGTTTCATCAAGCGACGTTCTAAGGAGTTTGACCATCCACGCATGACAAAGAGCCTGGTTGCCACAATAGTCCATTCACCCAGACAGAATTCTACATAGTCTTCTCTTCGTCGTAAAAAGTTTTCTATTCTAAACTAATTAGAAAGTCGAAAGTCTTAGTCTATAGTCTTAGTTTGTATTCGTTTTTGTAGTATGTGGGGCGGGTGGTGGCATGGAGTACTTTGCATCGGAATACAAGCGACAAAAAATATGCTAGGCAGTTTATCTAGCAGTTAAATATTTTGTCATGAGGACTGTAGTTACCATGTATTAAATTAATTACATTCGGTTTTGCCATATCTACAATAGATTTCCAAGTTGCCAATTTTATACAGGTAGATAAACTACTTTGCATAATGTCAATGTCGAAGCTTTTAATCCTTCTTTGCAAATGAACTTTTCTTTCCGATGCTTTGAGCCCTTCTACAAACTGTCCTTTCCCAAATTTTCTTTGGTTAATGTACACATATACACAATTATAATTGACTCGTATAAATAATTAGTTTCCGTTGAAATTCCTTCTGAATCATTCTCTTCGCTGCGCTAAATGCAAATGCACTTTGAGCAGCTGCGCCTTTAACGCGGCTTTTGAATGCCAAGCGGAAAATGCGGAATTTTCAGTTGCTTTTCAATATGAAAACTTGTGAGAAAACTGCATGCATAAGCAGTGCAGACATTTAATTTCTCATTAAACTGCAAGACACGGACGCGAGTGAGGCAGCCGCAAGTCTGACGGCGTCAATTGTAAAATATGAAAATATGCAATTATAATTTACAGTTTCTTTTCTTTTGGTTGTTTGATACCGCTTGCCACATAAATTGCTGAAATTGCTGGGGCAACTTTGTGCCTGAAACGCAGCACGCACATAAAAAATAGGAAGAAAAAACATGGCTTAAACTTTGATGCTTAAGAGGAAGCAGCGCCTGCTAATCCGAACGTAGCTGCTGCAAGCTAGGCGGCAAGCACTTAACAATTAACTTGACTTGCACCTGCCGCGCAACGTTGCATGCCCCGCGAAAACACAAACACAACACACACACACACGGAACACACACGAACACGCACAAGAACTGACACCGACGAGTAATTTATGTTAAGCGTCGCATTTTTATGTTCAAACAAGCGAAGAAGCTGCTTATAATACAAGCAGCCGACACACGACCAACACCACCGGAACCGCCAGCACCACCAACTCGACACATTCTCAACTGCATTTTCGTACATGCGTCTTTGGTTCTGGCAAAAAGTTAATTGAAACACACGCAAGAATGAAACCTGACAGAGCTGTCAGCTGCGCAGCGACGTACATGCGGTCACATTTCGTGATACACTTATAAATCATAATTGAAAGGAAGAAACAGTCTGAGGTGCGATAATACCCAAAACTTCAGAGAATTTCAGTAGAAACTTTAACATTTATTAGCATCAGAACAAGCTATACTTGATTTCAGAGCTTAGTTTAGTGCAGTATTGTGAAGTACGCGAAAAAGTATGCTATATTTTGAGCCTTAGAGTGAAGCCTTTAGATTTGCTCTTAGGATTAACTATTTTTTCGTAAGACCCTTCCTATTTATAAGCAACTAAATAAAAAAGCATTTCAAGTATTTATTTATTTGAATATAACATAATTTACGTCTAACAATTGCATTCACATATATCTTATCCTTTAGTATTTTCCAACACTCGCATTTGAATCTGCTATTTTAAATTAGCATTTTACAACACTTACCCATTTATCAGCTTATTTAATTTAAATTTTTATTCGATTGTATCTTAATTAAATTCATCTCATACATGGGCTAGTATTGAAAAATTGGTAGAATGTATTGCCCTATTTGTCGGCATTTTATAATTATATTATAATTGATTACAATTATATAATTATAATTAATATGTATACAAAATTGATTATATTTAATTAAAGGTTAGTGCTGCAAAATTTTAAATTTAATAAGCTGATACATGGCCTAGTGTTATAAAATTAGTAATAATTTCCACCCTATTTGTCAGCTGATTATAAGATTATAATTATTCAATACATAGATAATTGCTGCAAAATGTTAATTAACTGATACGTGGGATTGTGCTGCAAAAGGGTATAATAACTACCTTTGTTAGCTGTTTAAATTTATATTTTAGTTCGATTATAATTAGCCAATAAGGGGCTGCAAAATGTTAATTTTATTTAGCTGATACATGGGCAAGTATTGTAAAATGATTAATAATTACAGCCTATTTGTCAGCTGATATTTATATTATTGTACTTAGATTATTATTAGGCAAAACATAGCCCACGTATCAACTTATTTTTTCAAATATTTATTAAAAATTTATAAATATTATTAATTTTAATTATCAAAAACATGTTGTAAAATGTGTAATATTACCTACCAAATAGGTTCAGCTGATTATATTTGGATTATAATTAGATTATAATTGGCCAATACATAGATGAGTGCAACAAAATGTTTATATTAATTAGCTTAATCGTGGATTAGTGTTGTAAAATAAAAATAATTATTACCCTTTTTGTTAGCTGATTATGTTTATTTTATAAATAGATTACAATTATCCAATACATAGGCAAGTGCTTTTAAAAGTAAATCAGTTTTAGCTGATACATGGTTTAGTGCTGTAAAATGGGTAATTATTATTATCTCATGTGTATATTTGACATTTGACTAATTTTAGGCAGTTGTAAAACACCATGTCTTTAAACATAAAATTATCTTCACATTTATTTATTTATTCAAAAGTACAGTTCGAGTTCTTCAAACGTATTTTCGTACAATATTACGATCATCCTTCAGAATTGCTGCAAATTTCCAAGTACATAAATCGCATACGCATAAACCAACTGATAAAGATTAAGAGTGCAGAGTGAAGGATAAAGGCAGAGTGACTCGAGTCACTGCATTTGCATCCTCTTGCCGTGCATCTTAATCCTTGGCCGCTCGATGATTGCGGCTGTGCATAAAAAGGCAACACCAAGCCACAATTGCTTTTCGCCAATAAAATTTAACAAAACAAAAAAAACGAAAACGTGCAATATAATTAAGTACGTATATTTCGACGATACACACACGACAATAATGTAAAAATAATAAATAAATAAATATGAAAAAAGTCAGCGCATTCGGAGCTGCAATCGCTGTATCGCATTTATTAAATTAACAACAATATTATGGCCGCATCGCGCGTTGTTGTCGACCAATTATGGCGACAAAGTGTCTTCATTAAATTATAAATTCATGAGCTTAACGTAATTTGCATGCCAATGCACTTTATGAAGTACTTTGTGCCATTTAAAAAAAAAAAAAAACAAAAAAAAAACTTTATATAAACCATACAAAATAAAAGCAAGAAAGAAAGGCGATCAATGACAAGACGAAACTCAAATACACTTATAAACATATAGCTTACGGGTCTGAATAAATGTGACAAGAATAGGGAAGTTCATAATTGATAAGTTTGGTCAATTTGATAACTTGAAAAACCGGAAAGTTTTCAACACAAAAAATCTTTTTCAGACAGATATACCATAAAGGGCCTTATGATATTGTAGGCCGATATTGATAATTGGTAGAACTCGTGAATGCCAAGTTTGGACAAGAGTTCTTGAAAAACAAAATCTGTCTACTTACAATTTTTTTTTATATTTTCTTAAATTTTCATTGATTTTTTTTTTTTTTTAATTGTTTAAATTAAACTTATATGAATAAATAAAAACACAACTTATTCTACAGTTAAGTCTAACAAAATAAAATTAACAAGAATAGGTTGGTTACGTAAATAGATCTGAGGGACCAATTGGATAAGACCTCTGCAATCTCCTCCGCATTCGGACTCCTCCAATTTTCAATTTTCGGCCGGTTCAAACGTTTCTATTTCCGGCTACAAAAAAACGGAAACTAGTTTGCAAATACTTAATGTTCAAGTATTTAAAAGTCAGATTCATTATATAGTAGTACGATCCGGGCGGTTCCGACACATTAGTTGTCGGCATAGTCTAGTTTATATTGAAACAGACGAGACAGAGAGATGGACGTCTTTAATGCTGGTCAAGAACATACATATATAATTAATGGGGATCTAACGTATCTTATTCAGTTCGTTACACATTAAATAACAAACCCACAATACCCTCTGTAAGAGTATATAAAAAACAAAGAGAAAACCATAATTATGAAACCAAGTAAATCTGCTGCCCATAATTACAAATGGCCAACGGCCTATTGACACTTATGGCATGTAAATTAACAGTTATTTTTATTGTTTAACAAACCATACAATAAATTGCGAAATAACAATAATACGAAAATAAACAAAAGTATAAATTGCCGCCGCACAACCAAGGTTTAAAGTGACAAATTGATAAATTGATAAATCGGCTCGCCTAACTAAGACCTCAATAGCTTCTTTTTTTATGCCAGCCAATAAATTATTTGTCCGATAAACAAAAACCAATGCGCAACAGATTTGCGGCACACATAAACAAAAAGCATTTATTGTTCGTGCCACAACGCATAACTAATACTAAAAAAATTAAACAAGGCCTTGGATACGATTATTTTATTTATGGCCAACATTTTTGATTTGAATGGTACGCGCGTTGCATGTGCCGCCCACAGAAGAGACTGAATTTATTAATTTGCATGTGTGATTATTTTTATTTAAATAAACACACGCACACACACACAAACGCCGCCTGGCTGAAGAGAATTCATTTTTTAATGCCCAGCGGCGCTGAAAAGTATGCTACGACTTTGACTAGGCGTTCTGTGTGTGCGTTGTGTATGCGTATGTGTGCACTGAGTGTGCCTGTGTGTAAATTAAATTTGCATATGCATTGCATATTTCTTTACCATGAGCAATGCAATAAACAAACACACACAAACACACAGGATACAGATCTATTTTTTATACATGCGCTGTTTTAAGTGTTTCCACTGTTCAACATTTGAAGAACATTTTAACATTCAAAACAAATTTTATTTATATTTATTAAACTAAAATAATAAGCAAATATGAAACTGCTTTAAACAAAGGTTATAAGAATAACATTTTTATATTCATACAATTATTTTTAACATTTTTCTAAAATATTAAATATTTATTCATATCAATTTTAAATATTTAAAAAAAAAAATATTAAAATCTTGTTATTAAATATTCATAGAGTGCATTTGGCCTTAGTATTGGATAGTATATGTATATGCATTATCTATTTTATCTTATCTAATTAAATATTTTTTTTAATTATGCTTATTATGTAAAAGCCTAATCGTGTTATCCATTATGTTTCCAACGTGCTCGTGTCACGACTTTAAACACAAGACGCGCCCATTTCTGCATCTCATTCAAATGCGCTTAGATGCTGTCAAGTGGAAATGCTTCACTTTATTCCACTGATATGGAAATTATATTTTCAGCTGTAAAAATTCGCATATGAAGCGTGTGCTCTGCTGCATTATTCAATTAATATTTATTTGTTTTTCTGTAAACCAAATGATTGCAGTGTAAATTACCAGCGATTAACCCCAAACTCAATGCCAATGCGGCTGACAGCAGCCCCCGCCGCTAACAACGAGCTAAAGCCACAATTTGTACAAATATATTGGCTACGTGCACTCTATAAGTTATCGCCCAGGCAAATCCCAAACAGCATACAAATGATGCAAAAGTACAGTGGACAATAACAACAGCAACAACAACAACAACAACAATAAGGAACTCACAACAAATAAACATTTGTCATGTTGCATTGATGCCAAAAATGGCATCGAGGCCATTTTATGGACCGAACTTCGACTCGAGAGATAAAGCCAGGGCGTGCGAATGCTGTCATATATTTATACCCTCAAGCCATTGAAATGGGAATGATGGTTTTGTGCAAAGGTATGTTACAAGCAGTCGAAGCTTTTCCTTGCCTATTATGTATATATATTCCTAATCAGCAGCAGCTGTTGAGTCTATCTAGCCATAGCCATTTGCCTGTCTACATGTCTGTCTTTCTGTCTGTCTTCCTGCCTGTCCGACTGTGCGGCTGTGTGGAAAAAGCGTCGTGAAAAGAGAGAGAACGGGAGAGATAGAAAAAGAGAAAGAGAGAGAGGCAGTAGATATTTTAAAAGTAAGTTCTCTTGGTGCATAAACGAGAATTTATCATACTACCGATAACTTGGCTCGTTGCCGCAAAACCGATCAAAAATCTATATCAACATTTTGTTTTTTAACCATATATTAAAAGCTTACAAGCTAAAGATACTAAATTTGGGATGTAAGAGTTTATGTAGATCCCGAATATTTCCATTCTGCTCAAGACCTAAAAAGCAACGCATTTTGAAAGTTGAAGATGTTGGCCTTAGTATTCACTTCTATGCTGTATTGCTTTCCTGAAAAGTTCATAATTGTACGACTGTAGACACCGAAGGAAATCAAGAATAAATTGTCCAGATTGTGTGTCTAGAAGAAGATCCGTATAGCGACAGTTCTGCACCGAGTGCAGAGTAACTCCAAGTCGGGAACTTCCATCTTGAGCACTTGCCTGTTTTATTTATGATTGCAATTTCTTAGCACGAATTGGCCAACTCAGTGCCTTGTTGCATTTTGGGCAAGTAATAGACCCATAATGGAGCTACGTGTTAGAAAAATATAGCTAGTTTCTAGCTTTGCTCAAATGTTGACAGCTGGATATACAAATTTGTTAAGAAATTGTCTGCGAGCTCTTATTAAAATGCAATATCCGAAGAATATTGTTTAAAAGTAGATAACGTTAACAAATAAAAAAATTATTTTATCAATTGAAATAGTATCATAAAGTACTTTGATTTTAAGAACTGTTGTTTTAACAATGCAAATTGCAGTGTAAATCCTGTACGTACTTTCGACTGTGCGTATTTCGGCAATGCCTTTATTTGGAAATTCAAATATGTGTTGTGTTCATTAATTACAGCAAAGTGGTTAGCCCCAAACCCAAACCCAGTACTCGGAACTCGACCGAATCCAGCCAAATCGCATAATCGCCGGTCCAGGCAACAGGCCCGTCGGGCTGAGCCTGAGTTTGAATTGGAGAAGAGCGCGTGTCGTGACTTTTTTTCAGCACGAACAATAAATCACATACAGCCACTATAAAAATTGTTGACATATTTACTTCAGAAATATACAATTCAAAATTTAATATTAAGTTTCGTTTTTTTAGTTACCTATAATATAAATTATATATTTGAATGGTAAGTATTTTAAAAGAATGTTATTAAACTCTGTTTAAAAACTATGACACCAAAAAAATAAAGTTGGTTCCATTTGTACAGACACCTATTGAACGATGAAACAGTTTCAACCTCCACTTCAAAGAGCGTAAACGTGTAAAATAATGTATTTTTTTAAAATGTTTAATTAGTAATTTAATTTAAATTACTTGATTGTTAATTTTTGCATGTATTTGTGTTAGTGACCTGAAGACTGTTGCCGAGGCGCAAAGGAAATATATTGCAAGACAATACAAAATTGTTTTCATTTTCGATTTTAATAAAATAAACTCTGTACCTCGAGCCAGCTAAATAAATATTTGCAGTATATGTTTTTTTATATATACCTGTATGTCAGCCAAATTCACATTTTTAATGCCAAATTAAGGCTGAATATAAGTTTTAAGTTGGTTCTCGGTTCAAACCAATGCCACGCCTTAAGGTTCGGTTTGTGAACCAGATTTCCACATCTCTTAACTCACGACTCGAACTTTAGATCTTTCAATTTGCAATAGAATAATTTTTGTTTAACATAAATTAACTTTATATTATTTTATATTTTAGTTGATTGCGTTGAGTATTTAATGTACAAACTGTCTTTAGCACAATGTCAAAAGCCTCCAAAAGTTCTAAGATTATTTCGAAAAGGAAAAATTAAAATAATCTTCTGAACCAAACCTGCTTTAATTAAATATATGATTCGGTTTAGTAGCGGATGTGGCTGTTTTTTATTCAACAATTCTGGCTTTAGGTTCAGTCCATGGCCGTGTTCAGGTATGTTTCATCGTGTTGAGTCGTGTTTAACATACGCAGTATACAATTATTGAACACGAATACATCGTTTTCGTGTCACGTAGGAATGGACACGACACACGCGCTCATATCCCCGAATTGGGCTCACTCACTGGCTTATGCCACACACGTCGCCAGTGGAATAGCAATGCAAACTTTTGCGCAAATTAACAAATTTTCAAATCTACTCGCACAACAAAAATAAGTTCTATTTGCCTATGTCGCAGTTTGTTTATGCTGCTACCTTGATGGGGCGTGGCGAGGGCATGGTCAAATTTTGTGGCCAGGCCACAAATGCTACAAACAATTGTGTGTGTTTTTCTTTAGTAAATAACTCGACACGAGCTCGGACTTTGACACTTTTTTGTTGCATAGAATTGCGGCATGCAAATTTAATTTGCCAACGCCTGCAGGCAAACCGGGTCGTTATCGTGTCGTGCCCCAAACAAACACACACACACACACAATTTGATTAAATTATATATTTTCATAAAGAATATTCGTTGGTATCTGTTGAATATTAAATCTGAGCGGTAAATTTGCAATTTTTTAAGTAATTTATCAAATATGGAGTTATGCGCTGTCGCAAGAAAGCAATTCTTTGGGCTCAGCTAAAGTAATTACTTTTGCAAATGGAAAATATGCAACAGACGAATGGACCAATTGATGTGTGTTTTCCCTTAGACATGGCTTCTGCTGCCGTACAGATTTATTGGCCGTAACGTGGCTCGTTTTTCCAATTCATACTTCATTTATATGTTGATGACAAAATTTGAATGCAATCTTGGCCAAAGGCCATCTGGGAGCAACGAGACGCATTTATTGCGTTTCAAACTTTCAACTCGGCTTAACTTGGCTTACGTTCTGCTTTTTAACACAATCACTGCTTAAACCGGCTACTAGCTTTAACAACTGACAACCGAGCTCTTAATAAGCCTTGTGCCACGCACGCACGTAAAACGCGTGCCTGTGAATTGTGTGGGTAGAAAAAAATATAATCAAGCCTTTGCCGAGAGGGTTTCACTGGTAGATGCTCTGTAGCCCAGTTGTAAAATAATCTAAAATATTTAATATTTATAAACATTTATATATGTTCCTTAAATTCGATAGATTTACTCAGATATGTTTATATATAAGTATCTATATGTATCTGTAAAGCCTATAATTGGGCTACCAGCTTTGAAAGTTTGCATTGCATTCGTTAAGATCTCTTGTGTGAACTTTAGGAGTACAAAGATAGAATGTTAAAATGTTCATGTACCAAAAATTAGGACATTGATTTAAAAATACAAATAATAAAAAATATATAGTTAAGAATATTGCAAAATCTAAGTATAGTATAGCTATTCTATAGTCGACCAAGCGGGTGGCTGGATTGATTAGGCATGCCAATAAAACGTGTATATATATTTTTTAGGGAGATAATGCCTCGCTTGATCAACAATACATAAATATAAAACTTTCACGAACTCTTCAAAGAGTAAAGTCAACAGAAAACCACAAAGGAACTAACAAGATTGTTATATTAATTGGTAAATGCTGCACAAAAATTACTAAAAATAAGGTACAAAAAGAGCAAAAAACAATAAAAACTAAGAAAAATAAATATATACTCTACATAGAGATAATGCCTCGGTTTATATACAGTGCATAAATATAAAAGCTTCGCAATAAGTAAAGACAACAGAAAGGCACAAGAGAAAATACAAAATTCTTATATTAATGAGTAAATACTGCAAAATATCAAAAACGAGTAAGAAAGATCACAAAACAGTAAAAGCAAGAAAAGGCTGAGAATCGAGAAAAAAAAAACGTAGAAAAGAGGGAAGATACACGCAGCAGCCTCTCGATTTGCCGGCTTAACAAGTCTTAGCCATTACCTTATATTGAATACAACAGCTGATATTCATATACATACATATATTAATTTTGTACGAGAACCGAACAGAATGACAAATGCTAATACCCTGCATAAAAATGTGGCTGTTGATTGTCCCGAGCTCAACAACTCATTTGCGGCGTTTGTTTGCCGTTCTGTTTGTTGCCTTTGCAAATTAGTGGCCGGCATTCTGACAGTGCATAAAAATGCAAAACACATTTTGTCAGGCAAATGCTTTTTCATTACATTTTTCCTGGCTTGTTGCAGTTGGCGAATGGCTAGAGACAGCTCTTTATAGCCAGCCCAAAAGTATGCTATAATTTTTCTTGAATCTGCAATAAAGTGCGCTGTTTTGTGCCAAGACAAACGCAATTGCAATGTACTTCAAATAGATTTTTAATAGTCCAACTGACACAAACACACCCACGCACACTCCTACCCAAACACACACTCACACACATGCAGTGGGAGCGACTCAGAGAAAGCATCGTTTCATTGGGCTGGCAGTCGCTTTTATGTTGAGCCTTTGTTGACAGTCGAAAACATTTATGCGATTTTGTCGTTAGACGCACAGAGCAAATAAAAATTTATGAAATACACAGACACACACACACAATATGAGAAATGTGCAGATACAAAATACTTCTATAAGCATTTAAAAAGAGATAAACTAGTGTGAGTGTTCTAGACTGAAGTGCCTGACTAGAAGATACCCTATATATCATCTATATGAACACACTCACAAACAAGCATACGGATACGCACACACATGCATGGCGCAAGCTTCTTCTTTCCTTAATCCGCACTATGGAATATGGTTTCCTTATTATCTTCTGTAGTAAATAAAAACAATAAATATCTATAAAAATAAATATTAATTAAAATATAATATTAACTTCTATATACACATGCCACAAGTTTCTTCTACTCTTAATCCACACTATGAGCAATGCTTTCGTTTCGGGGCTTTAATTATTTCCGAGGTATTCCTAAAAACCATGTCTTAATATTGATTGGAATTTGAAAATGGGAAAGGATATGGAAGAGAAAAATTTTTAATCTTATTTTGTGTATGTTATAGAAGAATATATATGTTAAATTTAAAGTCATTAGCTTATGTAGTTTCCGAGATCGAAGGGATCACAAAGATAAACAGACTGACGAAAACATGGCTAGATCTTTATTATACATGCCGTCTTCAGCCTGTTACATACATGTGCACAAATCCATTATACCCTTTTTAAACATATTGAACAAGTTGAGGGTACAAAAAGAAAAAAAAGGAGAAGAGGGGATTGGGTAACAGCTGAGTAAGTTTGCAATTGTCAAAATGAATTAATGTTTAACTGGCAAATTGCTTCTGTTATCTTTGACTATATATGCTGTAGGTCATACTTAAGGCTGCTGCATCTAAAATTACCCAAGTAATTTGCTGGCCAATATTTTGTGGCCTTTGCAGCCATTTAACGGCAGCAGACAACAACTACAGAACGTGGGTAATAAAGTGCCAAATAAATGAAATAAAGCTGTTGAACAAGTCTTATGTTTCTTCCGGCTTTTATTACAAAACACACTTAAAACACACAAATAAAAACGCAAATAAATAATACATAAACTGCCAAACAATTGAAAATTGTTCGCACAATGCAGGATCTTAAGTGCTTACTAAAGGCAGCGCCCAAGTGCTGCTTAAGACCAACTGCAAATACACAATTCAATTTCGATGCTTAAAGCGTTCTAGTGGATACCCCTACCTTCTTGTTTGAGGCAGAGCTGCCAACCAACCTCTAGCAGCAGGATTACAGGCAAATTGCAACCGTCTTTGCATGTCTCGCGCACAAGCACACCAACACCCACACACACACACAAAGCTAGCCCAGCAAACTAATTTTATTGTACACCACATTCATGAGCACTCTGATCCTAACCCTCCGCTGCTCTATAGCCCTTGTTCCATGTCCTATGGCAATCGTGTGCAAAAATTTTAACAAGAAAATTGTTTAAGTGTTTCGTCTTAAGTGGCCTCATGAAGGCCAGTTTAAGGAAATGCTTAGCCAGCGGCTTTAAGCCAATCAGGTTGCAAGGAAATAAACTAAACTTCTGCATAGATTGACTTTAAGCTATTTTTTCTTTTTTGAATTTAAATTTACTTGAATTTAAAATATCACACAAAGGTCACTTAAAAACATACTTGCTCGATTCTTTTGTTATTAACATTTTGCAGATCTAGTTAATT